AACGCACTTAACGAATTGCGTAACTCCAAACCTTTCTGTTGGTTGCAAAAATCTTTTGTCCAAGCGGATTCATTTTTGTTTGAATTAACATGATACGTCTCCCGAGGGAGATCGTTTATTGCCCCATTTCTGGGTTGATAGGTTTTGCATTTCGTGCGGAGTTTATTTGCTCCCTGAACGGGACTTTTTGCTTCCATAAAGGGAATTTTAGCTCCCCGAGGGGAATATAGCTCTTGAAAAGAGTTAAAGAGCGCCAGGTTCTGGTTCTTTGATCGGTCGCCGTAATCTGGGTCTTCATGCTTTGATACGATCCGCGTTTTCTTTGCACGTAAACCCGAAAAATTGTCCAAAATCATGAAAAGATCTCCAGCAAACACTTTTTCACAGATGCGTAGAAAACTGTACCTGATTCTTGATGCAAAAGAGGATAAAAACATTGTATGAAATAGATGTACTCACGTTAGTTGAAGACTTCAACGGAGAGCGAAGAAAAAGCACATGGTAACCATATGACAATCGATAACAAGTCGGAGCCCCCACGTGAAACGATGTATGGTCGCCAAAGGTCGGATGATCGTAGAATAATCCGAAAAAAACACGAAAATAACACAAAATAATAGTAAAAATACACAACAAAAACAAATATATCAATTTCAATCAGGTTTGTTCGCCTTTAATCCAAGTTCCATTTCCTAGATGTTATTTGATTCGCGCGTAAATGAGCACCGATTCACACCCGAATGACCTGCGATTTACTCCGAATATCACTCAGTCTATCACTCAGTCTATCACCAACTCGATAGCATAGCTGCTTCGCATCTACGATGAGAAGCTACAAAAAACCACTTGTTTAGACGTGAGGAACCCATCAGGACTGAAAAAACGGACACCATCAGAATTCTTGGCCTTCCTCAAGGACTTTGAGGAAGGCAAAAAATTCTTTCAGTTCGACCCCGTTGAGCTGCGCAACTCGTGTACTTGCGGTGGTGATAAGCGATGACAGTTTTTTTCTTTCTTTTTTTTTTTTTATGATGCAGGATCAACTTTATGCCCGGTCTGCTCACCAATGTTAACTTTGGCCATTAGATAGTCTTTCTGTATTTCTTTAAGACGTTTTCGACCTTCGTTTGATTTCATTCCCCAACCCATTTTGTGATCGAACCGAGCTAGTACTTAGGGGGTCCTGAAGGGGTAAAACGAGTGCTGGTATTAACCTTCTTTGGTGCTGGGAAAATAGGATATCATGCACTGGGATTCATAAACAAAAAACCATCAAAAATGGGCTCGGGCTAGGAATAAAGGGATTTGAACTGGTATTTGAGTAAATGTTGGGCTTGGAAATGGGATTAGGAACCCCCTTCAGGACCCTCCATTTTTCATAGGAATACGCAGAGTTAATACAGGGGAGTCCCCTCTATTAACTCTGGAATACGTCATCAGAGCCTTGAATAGATTTGAACGGCCAGGAGCTGCTAACACGAACGTTATACTTTTAGATACTAAAACATAAGGAGGAAGACGCACAAATTTAGTTGATAACGGGAAATAAAAGTAGTATTTTCGGTGACTATTTGGATACATTAAAAAAAACCAAAAAAACTCACATGCACACACATTATCTATTATCCCGCCGCCGGTGGTCATGCAACGCTTTCGCTGCTTTGGGTTGATGACCATCACTACACCTAGAATTCATGATTTGTGAAGCGGTAGGAAGTAAATGCTGCTCTTTCTTCAGAAAAATCCCTCAAATT